GTTATCTGCACCACACTCTCCCGAGTGAGCCACAGGCAGGCCCTGTTTGGGGTGATTTTTACCTTGCAGAGTTTTTTTGGGGGGATGTTTACATGATGTCAACTGTTTTAATCATTCCTTTGATGGCATCTGGGCTTTGTGTCATGCTGAGAATGGGGGCTACCTTTGATAAGATGGGAAGTGAGAAGAAGCATTCTGAGTTGAGAAAATAGCAGGTGCAAAGGTCCTGAGGTAGAAAAGGGGCTTGGCACATGTATATTAACCAGGATTCTCCAGGAGAACAGAACCAATAGGCTGTATATGGAGAGAGAGAGAGAGAGAGAGAGAGAGAGAGAGGTTTTGAGGAATGGCTCATGTGATTACGAAGGTCAACAAGTCTGAAATCTACAGGGTAGGCTGGCAGGCTGGAGACCCAGGGAAGGATCACAGTTGGGGTCTGAAGGCAGCTTCTGGAGAATTCCTCCTTCCTTGGGGCAGGTCAGTCTTTCTTCTATTAAGGCCTTCAACTGATGGAATGAGGGACACCCCCATTATGGAGGGTTATTTGCTTTACTCAAAATCTATTGATTTAAATGTTAATTGCATTTAAAAAATACCTTCACAGAAAAATCTAGAATAATGTTTGACCAGATATCTTGGTACTGTGGCCCGGCCAAGTTGACCCATAAAATTCACCAGCGCATGTCCATCCTTTGTCGACTTGGCACCCACATGCATCTCCTTAAACCATGCTTAATCTCCAAATAAAGATAATGATAAAGTCACATTTCCATCTAATGTGATACAAGTGTCCTGCCTAAACTGTAAACACACTAACCCTTTTCCCAGAAGAGGATGCAAAGTCCTTAGGTGGTGTTGACTCTTCTCGATTTCCTGTAACTTTAAATGCTGTGATATAAAGTTAACGATACTTAAACACGATGATATAGAATCAATACAGCTTACGATAAGGGGATAGAGAGAGAAAGAGGCAAATAAGGCAAATACACACACACACACACACACACACACACACACACACACACACACACACACACACACACACATGTATACACAAGCACACACAAACATTTCTATAACAAATTAAGGGAGAAATACTCCTGATAATTACCGTCCTAATTACTGTAACTGGTCACGTGGTGGTAGCTAGTGTATACAACCTCCTTCAGAACCATGCTTGGTACCAAAATCTGTATTAGTTTGCTAAGGCTGCAAAGCAAAGTGCCACAGACTGGGTGGCTTAAACAGAAATTTATTTTCTCCCAGATCTGGAGGCCAGAAGTGCAAGATCAAGGTGTGGTCAAGGTTGGTCTTTTCTGAGGCCTGTCTTTGCCTTGCAGATGGCTGCTTCTTCCTGTGTCTTTACATGGCTGTCTCCTGTGTATGTCTGTGTCCTAATCTCTTCTTATAAGGACACCAGTCATATTGGATCAGGGACACCCTAATGACCTCATTTTATCCTAATCACCACTCTAAAGGCTCTATCTCCAAATATAGCCATATTCTGAGGTTTTGGCAGTTAGGGCTTTAACATATAAATTTTGGGAGAACACAATACAGCCCATAACGATAAGAGAAAGTTGGCCAGTGTGGCTGGGGTGAAGGGCGGTGGAGGGAACGCCAAGGACAGGTTTCGAGAGATCGGCAGAGGATTCAGGGCCATAGTCAGAACCTGGTTTTGTTTGCATGTGATAAACAAAACCACCAGGATGTTCTGAGCTATGTTTTGCAAAAGTCCTCTGCAGGAGCCTCTGGAGGGGGAGCGGGTGACCGGGATACCCTTCTGGTGAGCAATAATGGGGTGTGGGATGGAGTTGGAAGGATGGAGAGAGGTGGATGGTTTTGGGGAATCAGAAGGAGTTGTCGCTCAGTGCGTGGAACAGAGACCGGTCAGCAGGAAGTTGATGGAAGAAATGTGTCTACAGAAGGGAAGTGACCAATCTACCTTGTCCGGTCAGACCCTTCCTTCAAGGAGGGTCTGATGGGCTGAGACCCCATCTCTTGCTCCTTGTGGTTTCTTTAGATTTTAGTTCAGTGCCAAGCATGTATGAGTCTGGGTGATGCATGAATGTTTGTCAATGAATATGTGAATGACTTAAACCAGAAACTGAGGAAATTGGGGATGTTAGGCTTGGGAGAGAGCAGATTTCAGGGTGTATGTGGGCGGTGGGTGGGGGGAGTGTTAGACACTTTGGTGTTCCTGATGCTTTGGGTTGGAGAGTGGGTAGTGGATGGAGACTTACCTATGAGTTCTAGGAGATGGTGAGTTTACTTTCTTTCTTTTTTAAAAATTGAGACAGTGAGATTTCTAATAGCCTTGAGGTAGTGAGCTCACCGACCCTGGGAGTGTGTAAACGGGAGGGGCACAGATCTGAAAGCTTGTAGAGGAAATTTCTGCCCCAGGGAAGATTCGCACATGGGAGAATCTTAGTCTGGTTTACATGAGGGTCCTTTGGGTTTCCCAGTTGCCCAGGTGGTGGTGGGGTTTTTGTATCTCTCTCACTCCTGAGACTCAGCCTGTCCCACATTGTGTGTGTGTGGCTGGCACTTGGGGTGGGTCTCACTTGAGGCCTGGGTGCCTGGCTTGCTGAAGTCATTGTGATTCTAAATTAACCCAGCGCTCACCCCTTGAGCTTGGAGGTGCTGCCCTCTGATGGGAACAAGAAGAGGTGTCTCATCACCACCCCATAACCTCCTAGGAGATTCTTGCCCATTTCACAGGTTGAGGCTGCTTTGGGGAAGGGACGGGTGAGGCCAGGGGGGTCCAACCCTGCCTGTTTGTGATATGGGGATCTTGGCTGGTCTTTGGGCGCGCCCCCCACTCCCCCGCCAAGCTAAGGACCTCACATTAGCTCGGGGTGGGCCTGGAGTCACAGCACAGTCCCCAGGATACAGTGGGACAGGGTGGGTGTGGATAGCCAGGACCGTCACCCACCCCCATTGTCCCATGACAGACTTGGGGGGTAGGTGGGATGGGCTCACTGCTCCACAAATGAATGAGTTTCCACTTTGGAAAATTCCTGCATGAGAATGGTGCTGGCAGGTGAATCAGAGAGAGGAGGAGAGAGAGAGAATCAGAACGAGGTAGAGACAGACGTAGTGATTCAGAGGGAGAAAAACACAGCAAGTGAGCAAAAAAAAAAAAAGAGTTGCACAGAAAGATACAGGGGAGCAGAGAGTCTGCGAAAGATGCTCAATAAATAGTGAGCGGCTGAGCGAATGAACGAATAACTCTGTGAGAGGAAAGAGAACCCAGCACGGACAGGGATCAACTCTGGCAGCTCCTCTCCACTGTGTTAACAAACTGAGGGGTCGTGTCCAGAATGCTGGCCGGAGGTCCAGAGGGGACTCAGGGTGCCCCTTGGGGAGAATGTCCAGCCTCCCATCACGAGGGGTTGGAGTCCCACCCCAGGTCCCAGCAGGGACAGGGTGGGGGTGGGAGAGGCCTCAGAGAGCATCCCCAGGGCAGGACCCAGGGAAAGCCTCTGGGGTGCTGGTGCAGGAATAGGCCGAGAGATGATTTCTAGCTGAATGGACAACCCAGGACAGTCTGCGCCTGGGGACCTGTGCAGGGGTGGGGGAGGGAGCCCATGTCCCGGGGAACACTTACCTGTGGTACCTGCCCCCTGGGTCACAGTGGGCTGGTCACCCCTTGGGAATATGGTCACCTGTTGGTGTTCGAATCTCTACTCATTGGATGGAGCCTGGAGACTGGTCCTGGGGGTAGGTTCTGGGAGCCTGTGAAAGCTCCAAGGTGGGGTGTCCTTGGGGGTTCATCCTGGGGCAACCCTGGGGGAGTATCTTTGTGAGGGGTCTGTGGAGGAAGGAGTTGGGCTAAGGCCTAGTGGTGTTATCATGGGATGGTTCTGGGGACCCGTGCACAGTCCAAATTAGGGACACTGCTGCCTTCTTGGGGGTATTCCAGGGAGCCAAGGAATGGCGTCAGGTGGCGCCCTGTGAGACAACCAAGTGGGAGTATTCCCAGGGGAGATGCAAGGCAAGGGGGTGGGTTTAGAGTAATGGGGGCCATCCTGGGGGTTGGGGGTCTCAGAACATGGCGTTCTCTGGGGATATGGATGGGCAGTGGGTTACGGGAGCACCTGGATGGCAGGGGGGGGGACAGGGAAACAAATCATGAGGGGGGTAGAGTTTTGGGGAGGATAGGACTTGGGATGAGCTTTGGATATCAGGGGGAGCCTTTAGTGGGCCATTCTAGGGCAGACCCTCAAGGGTCAGAATATAGGTCTCCGTGTGGATGTGGGGGGTAAGCACTTGCGGGAGGCCTGGGGTTGTCCAGAGTATCAAGGTATAGGAGACCTTTGGATATTCAGACAGGAAACCAGTGAAGGGGTGGATTTGGAGAGCCGAGAACCAGGGGTATCTTGGCAAGTGGAACTTAGGGGTATGTTTGGGGGACTAGAATAGGGGTCAGATTATGGGGGTGCACTTGGAGGTTGGAGCACTCATGAAAATATTTTTTGGGGGGGTTGGAGCACTCACACCCCAGTGCAGGTTCAGTGTGAAGGATAGATCATGGCGGTGGGTTGGGGGGTCCTTTAGGAACGTGGGGTGATATATCAAAAGCAATAGATCATGAGTGTGAGATTAGAGGGTCAGAATCTGAGGATGTCTTGGGGATGCAGGGGGGAGGGGATGTCCCAACTTGAGGGTGTCCCTGGGGGGCACAGATCATGGGAGGGTGGGTTAACAGGATTAGAACATGGTGGTGTGTTTGGGGTTGATCACGGGGGAGGTGGACTTAAGGGGTCAGAATTAGGGTGTCTCAGGGGATGGATCATGGGAGGCGGATTAAGGCAGAACCAGAGATGTCTTGGGAGGTAGATTCTGGTGGGGTGGTTCCGGCGATGGGGGCTCAGAACCTGAGACATGCCTGGGTGGATCCAAGAATGGGTGGGGCGGGCCCAGGGGGACAACAGGACAGTGCCAGCTTGGTAGTAGAGGCTTTACTGCCCATGACCCCTCTCCCACCCCTGTCCTTATCAGTAGCACTTGCGGTACACGACGTGGGGTCCCTGTTCCTCGTACTGCTCCCGCAGGACCCAGCAGGACTGGAAGGCACGCAGCGAGGCCAGGATGGAGCCCCCGATCCACACCGAGATGTTCCTGGTGGGCTGGGCCACGACCGCCACGTGGGCCTCAGGAGGCAGACGGCTCAGAAGCTCGGCCCTAAAGCGACCCTCGAACCCGGTGAAGAGAGAGGATCCTCCGCACAGCAGCACCTGCTGGGCCACTTCTGCCTGCACCTCCCGCGGCACCTTGTAGAGACTCTGTTGAGCCATGGTGGGGAGGCCCACGGGTGACAGTCCTGGGATCTCTGGGGGGTTGAACAGCAACTCCGGGCACTGGAACAGCTCTCGGCCTAGCGTGGCTGTCTGCCCGTCGGGCAGCTGCAAGGTCTGCCTGTACTGGTGCTCGGGCCGGGCCTGCTCCTTCTGGATGTCAGAGGCCACATAGCAGTACTGGTGCTTGATATTTTGCACAATGTCCAGGCCCTGCTCTCCAAGCGACAAGCCGGAGCGCACCAGCGTCTCCGCCAGGAAGGCGGTCAGGTGGTTGCCGGCCAGGTCCAGGCGCTCGGTGGCATGGGGCAGGTTGTAGCCTTGAAAGACTGGCACCGTGTAGGTGACCCCGTGACCGGTGTCCACCACCAGCCCGCTGACGCGCCCGTGGGCGTAGACGGACAGCACCGACTGGGAGGCCACGTACATGGCTGGCGAATGCAGCGACTCGAAGGCCACTTCCACCAGCTTCTCGCGGTTGGTGGCGGGGCTGAAGGGCGGGTCAGAGAACAGCAGCGGGTGGTCCTGGGTGGCCACTTGGAGGTCGTGCTCCAGTATGTGGCGCCAGATGAGCTCAGCTGCTTCCCAGTCCACGATGATGCCCCCGTGTAAGGGCTGCACCAGTGTCAGCTCCGGGTGCACACGGGCTGCCTCGCCGATGAATGTCGCCAGCCTGGGCTGTCCCGTGGTGGCTGGCTTATTTGGATGGCAGCCCACGATGGTGGCCACGGTGTAGGTGGGCCGGGCCTGCCCAGCAAAGCCCACCTTACAGGTGCCTGTGCCCATATCAATAACTACTGCATCTGTCTTTGGTAGCAGCCTGTCACCCACCATGCCTGGGGAGTCCTGCTGCAAGGTCTTGTTCACCAGGATTGAGTTGGGGTTCAGGCCAGGCCTCTGGTCCTCTGGGAAGTTTGAGTTCATGGTGCTGGGGGGCTGGTGAGGCTCCCTGGCAAGGCTGACCACTTTCCTGTGGGGGTCGAGGCTGCGCCAGGGGCAAGCACAGGTGGAGAGAGAGAGAGAGAACAAGGGCTGGGTCAGTGGTCTATGACCTCACCCTGCCACCCCCCCAGCCCCAGAAGACTTCACAATGCAGGGACAGAGATGGGGCCCCTGCCAGCCCCACCTGACCTAGCACCCTCATTTATTCTGGCTTCTCCCCAAAATGCCAAATTTCGAGAAAGACGAGGCTGGAGAGTTCCAGGGGAGGAGACCTGGGACCCAGTTCACTGATTCTAGAACCCAGGAATCCTTCTTTTGGTACCTTGCCATGAAGCTATTTACAGTGTAGGGGCTGGAGAACTGGTCACAGGCCTCCTTGCATATTAGAACATTAGACTATTAATCCTTAGAATATCATTAGAAGGCGGCCTGCCAGCATGGCTTTCTGGTTTCCAAAAGAAGACAGGGGCCAGCCTGAAGCGGGGGTGGGACGCAATGGGGACAGGCACGGACACTCCTGTCCTGTGTTCTCTGCCTTGCCTGCTATTCCTGCTGCCACGGTCACTCTCGCTGTCCCATTCATTAAAAAAAAATATTTATTTTTAATTGATAGTAATCATTGCGCATACTTATGGGGCGCATGTAATAATTTGATACATGTATACAATGTGCAATGATCAAACCAGAGTAATACAGTTTAAGAGGAATAAATTCTAGTGTTCAGCAGCCCAGTAAGGTCTCGATAGTGAACAATAATTTATTGCGTATTTCAAAATAGCTAGAAGATTTGGAATATTCCCAACACAACGGTGATGGAGATCTCAGTTACTCTGTACCGTTCTTGCCAAGCTGGAATTCGTCCCTTCAAATCTCAGCCCGACACCTCCTCCTCCTGGAAGCCTTCCCCCCCTCCCGCCCTGTGCCCCCCCTGCCCGGGGAGGGGGGTCTGCCTTCTCTCCAGGGACTCCACCCCGCTTTCCCCTGGCAGGCGGGGGACA